TAAGAGTTCTTTGCATTCGTTATGTCTAGTCCATTTTGTCTGTCCATTTCGTCCAGACTAGTCTGGCGAGCAGAAAAGAAGAAAAAAACGAGACAAAATGTGGATTCGAACATTTGATGCGACAGTATTTTAAATTGGACGCGCTTTCTGACGGTAAACTATGCTTTAACGACAAACAGACGCTATTTTAAGCGGTCTAAATAACGTATTGGCCCTTGTTCATTCAATATGTAATTGAAACTAACTTAAGAAAAGCAATTTGACTAGTTTAAAATGTTTTCAGAATATTTAATGAATCCATGTTTTTATGAATATCATCATATTCGCTATATAAATTTGCAATTTTGTTCGCTTCATATTAAAGGCTCCATCATGCATCTGTTTGGACAATAAAGACATACACTCTTTGATACTATAAGTACAAAAATTATACTGAAACGCAAAGACGTGCATGAAGATACAAAGTATTCTGATTCATTTTCCGACGAAAATTGCGCATTGATATTTTTTTTAAATTTATTAGCTGTAAAATTAATTAGAAAAAATTTAGTTTCAAAATATTATTAATGTCTTTATTCTATAATTACATTTTAGTAAAAATATGGATTCTAGTGATTAATTTAAGAATATGTAAGTTACATAATATCAGTTTATGTTTTGGTTTATAGTACGAAAATTTTAAAATTAACAGAAACTTGAATCATAAAGTGGAAATAATGAATGTTTTAAATTTTAAATTATTTTTTTAATATTTATCGGCTTAGTTTTCTTTCAAGAGAAAATACTTTTCCTACACGTCAGTGATGAGGAAAAATTTTGGACCAATAAAAAAAATTTTTAATTAGTTGTATTCAACTTTATGTAATTATTTCGGTATTCTATGATACAAATTTTTATTTATAGTGAAATCTGAAAAACTCTGAGTAAAATTGTATTCAATAGTAGCTCAAAATGTTTATCAACTTGTAGAAGTTGATCACTTGACCGTATGGTTCAGTTGGCTATGTGCTTGGTAAGTGACATATTGTGTGTGTTGCAGTTGAGATTGGGATCACTTAGTTCACTTTGTTTGTTTAAAAATTCTTGTAACACATATTCAAGAAAACTTGTTTGTTTCTTGTCGAATTTATATTTACTATTACTTCTCGGACAATAAAAAGTATCTTCGTACTGTTATTTTGTTGATGAAAAGCTATTAGTCATTCTGTTTATTGTTTTTTTGTAAAAGTAAATTTTACTCATCATTTCCTTATAGTGTAGGTTCTATAGCGATGGTCGGGCCATGGGGACATTGAACGATTGGTTGAAATGAAATCGAGAATATTTGCGCTATTTGTTTTTATCAAATAGTTTTTTTTCCGATGCTCGTGATATGGGGGATCGAATGATTGGTTAGATGTTTAGTGTTAGCACATTCGTTGTTAAAAACTTGAAATTGAATTTTTTATGCTATTCAGAATAGCAGTCAATCTATTTTTCGATTGCTAGAGTAATAATTAGGCTATAAATGGATTATTGATTATCTATTCGTTAGACTTATTGTGAGAAAGTTTATCAATGTAAGATTGCAGTTTAGCATTGAGAATGCTTATTTTTCTGTAAGAGATTCACATGAAAAAAAAATATATAATTTATGTAATTAAAAACAAACAGATATAGAATGTGTTTCTTGATTAGATGTTCCATAGCAACGAACATCAATCGATTAATTATAAGGAGATGAATAAAATTCATAAAATTCTAATAATCACTAAATAAGAATGTTTAAAAATGAAAATTTTCTATATGTAAATATTTTAAACTAATTCAAAATAAATCATAGAAGTTCGACCAATCATTTAAAATCGGTATAATCACAAAAGTTGAATACAATAGTAAACAAACATTAATTATCGTGTCACTCATACTATTAACATGCATTTCAAACTCAACTGAATTCTCATGTCAACTGTGACATAAAATAAACTGAATGACGACTGTCGACTAAGCTGCCAGGGCACGAGTTGTAGAATACAAATGATTTTGGACTAGTCATATGCGAGAACTTTTTGACAAAAAAGCTAGACAAGACATACCGTAACGGCTAGAAAAAAGATTAACCTTTTCACACGTCCTTTGTTTGCCTTGGAGTTGCACCGAACTTAAGAAATCAGAGGAAATGAAAATTAAATTAAATTATTCAATATTGTTTCACTTGCTGTTCAAAGATTTTCGCAAAACTAATATGTAAGTGATATAGGACATCTCTACCAATAATTTTGTCCGTAATGCATAATTTTCGCGTCGTCAATTGACGGTGCACAAGACAGCTCAAGTAAGCTTGCAACGTTGTTTTCATGTTGAAATAGTTTGAATTGCTTTTGAAATAGGATAATATTCGAAAACAGTGATCGATGATGTCAGATCGTTTATCACGTAAATATAATTTTCATTGTCACTGGATGCTAGATGTCGAGGACCGTTTTCAGCCTGTCTTGACTTTTTAACGTGCAAATTTTTCAATACCCCATCAGCAGACAAGAATCGATATATAGATGTGGGTGTGGGCGTCATTGATGGGAAGACTCACACCCACACCCTTCAATACATGTCTATACAGCAGATAAAAAAGTATAGAATTTTTTGAGCTAAGAGCTCATTTCAAATGGAAAATCTCTACGCAATTATTAATCATCTTTGTATGATTTCCATCGAATTACTTCTAGAGTTTCTCTCCTTCAGTTTCGTATCTCATATTTCATTACAAATTCTTAGGAAGCTGTTTTCTTTCTGCACGTATAAGTGAAATCATCCAGTGGACGAAAATGAATGAATCCATATTGCATGATTACCATGATATCGAAAGGTGTAAAAATCGAAAAACAACATTTTTCTTTACCGGATCTTCTATGAAAGCGAGAGATCCATTTTCTAAAAAATAATTTTGTTGAAATCAAATAATTATTTAGCATTTTATTTTATTATTCATCCCTCTATCTTTGCTACTGTTGACACTGTATATTCTATACAATAATTTCTCTCTTCATCAATTCAGTGCAGCGACAAGAATAAATATTTATTCGACTTCCAGTATCAGATGAGTCAGAATTTTCATCAGCATCGTTACTTTTAGTTCTGCGTAGCACAGTCTCAATTTCTTCCATAAACGTATCGACAGTGCCACATGTCTATTAACATACGTTGACTCAGCATCACTGTATCTGAGTATTGATTATGTGCTGTTTTTATGCAAGTTGGAAAAATCTAATAAACAACGATGAATAAGTGACGTAGTTCTTTCCTTGCTTCTCGTTTTGTTTCTGCGCAAATGAAAGCAGCTACTTACGTGTACCCTGTATAAACACATCGATTTAAGGCGAAAAAAGTAAGAAAAAGTATTTGGGTCGCTCAAATTTTCTTTGTTCGTGGGTGTGGATATGAATGTGGGTGTTTGGCTGGGTATGGAGTGGGTGTGGATAGTGAAGAGATGAACATCCACACCCACATCCCACCCCTACTGAGATATTTTCGTTAAATTTGTGTTCCTTACAGTGAGGTCCAAATGGACCGTGGTTGATAGTACTAGAGCTAATGGAATGCCTTTTTGTGTGAAAACTGTTATGATTACTATTTTTCTGTTTGAATTTGCTGTTTCGTGTAAGAATCTATTTTATCTTGTCTTTATGAAAATAAATCAAGTGAATAACTGAAAGTAGAATGATAGTTTCTTGTAGACTTGTAGAAATAAATGTATTCAAAACAATCAGAAACATGAATCGGCTTGGTTCAACCTGCAGGTATCGCAAGTCTTACCAGTCCATACTCAAAAGCATTTAAGAGATAAACAAAAGAAAAAAAGACGAGCAATTGCAGAATCTCATTGTAATGTTGGTCGTATTTGAAAGAAAGTATTTCGAATAATTGATTTTATTCTCTACGTTGAAACACTTGACTTTAGAGATGAATTAAAATAAACTATCCAAACGCACACAAATAATGAAAATGACTAATTTGCAGAAAAAGACTGATTTGAAAGAAAATTTAGCACTTTAAGGGGAACTATCATGCATCTTAATATCGCTTCTGTATTTAAATCATTTGGTCAATTTGATGAGACCATTCAACATACAGAAATAGTCACGAATCAAAATGCACCTTGAAGGTGTGGGTGTATGTGATGAGAAGATATCCATACCCACACCCTGAAGGCAGGGCCATTTTGAGAAAATAAGTTTTTTCATAGAAGTTGACTAAAAATTTTCGGGATTGAGAAATAAAAACTTCTAATCGATTTTCCCAGATTCTTGAGATCGATTTCTTTTCATCATAGGAAGCCTTGTTCAAGAAAATATCTGAGTTTTATCAAATGTGACTAGAGATTTTCGGAGTCGAGAAATTGAAACTAATAGGTGGTTTGTCGAAATTGTCAAGTTCAACATTTTCGGTCAAGAGTGACCTATTTTTCTGCGATCTCTTCGTATTTTATGATATCTCGAACTAGTCTTCTCTGGTCAAAAAATTGATTAGAGATTCTATTCGTCAACTCCGAAATAGAAACAGTGTATGACTCTCACACCTAGCTATTACTTTAATTTTTCTCTTAATTTATAATATACATGAACATCTCAGAACTTTTCCTACATCTTTTATAAGAATTTGGTGCATCGTGTCTGCACATACTTCCTTGGTTCAGTCTCTTTTGTTTTATATACGATGAGACTTCACTGACTCTAACTATTAACTAAGACATCGTCTTTTTACCATTTTTAGAAGAATTAATAAATCTTTACGTTGTTCTTGTCGAAATCTTCATCTATCGTATCCACGATGGACTCACAAGACACATCACAATAATGGAACAAATCGACCAGTTTAATTTCCACAGGTTTCATTGATATAGTGTTAGCTTTCTTAAAGTTGGGTGTGAGTGTAATTCTAGTATTCTCCCGCTCGCATACCCACATCCACACCCTGTTAGTATAGATAGTATTCAAATTAGTGTCCAGTAACAAGAGAACCATTCAGCTATCGTCAATTATAATTGATCCAGCGGCAATTCTTTCGAACATTCTTTGTACAACTGCTTTCATATTTTCTTCATGGAACTGTGTTTGAGGATGATTCGGAGGAAGAGATTGTTTATCAATAGATAATGCTTTTTGCATATACTCGAACATCTCATCATAACGACCCAATGCATATAAGGACATTGCCAAAGCATAATACGATTGAGCAAGATATGGATGATTGGATGGTAAATATTTCCGATTAATATCAAGAGAACGTTGTTGACATTGGAATGCTTCTTGAAGATTGCCTTGATCAATGAAGATCGCCGCAATATTGCAATACTCAGCTGCAATATATTCATAGTTCGATTCGGGATTCGCGAGATGTATTGAAAGTGCACGCTGAAAATGTTCAAGAGCAAGCTGAGAATTTCCTTGATTGTGATAGATAGTGCCAATATTATTATAAATAGTAGCCAATGCTGGATCATCTTTGTCAAGATATTTTTGTTTGATTTGGAGTAACTCTACATAGCATTTTTGAGCTTCATCGATTTGATTCAAGTGACTATAGATAATACCGAGTTGATTCCATATTGTTACGAGACGTGATGGTTCACTTTCCATAGTCAATCCAATCAAATAGAAATATTCGCCTTTCTCGTATTCACCTATCTGTATTAGTAATCCTCCAAACATCAATAGAGGATTTTGATCTAGAATATTTGATTTTAGACTTTCTTTGAGTTCAGCCAACATTGAATCATTGTCACTGGTCAAAGTACTACAAGAGACAAGAATGATGAGCTCAGTTAATCAACATCATAATCTAATAGAAATTCTATGATACTTCTATAAGGTTTTATCGATATTTCATCGATCACTTCTTTTTCTCGAAAAGATTAAGAGTTTTCAACAGCAATTCACTAAATTAATCATTAATTCTCACGCAAAAGAGAAAACGTCGCATTCAATATTGACCGTCAAATAAATCATGTTGACATCTCTAATCAGATAATAACTGCTAACTTACAGATGCACCAACCAGACTTGCTCATCTCTTTGTTGCACTTTTTCAATTCGAAAGACAGAACCCATCGAGAAGAGATATTCTTTCTCACCTTCCCCAAAGTAACTATATCGTTCAATATTAGCAACAGGGAATGTATTGACCGTCGGATCAATGTAAATTTGAAAAAGAATGCAACTGATAGTTTGATCATCCAAAGGATGACCGGCAAAAATTCCAGCAACATCAACAATCGCGGTCGTCGAAAGGAAGTTTGAAATCGATAGAAGACCACCGATATTATTTTTAATTTTTTCAAATTCTACTATTGGCATCTGCTGTCCTCGATAGAGAATTAATGGCTCTTTTTGAATTGATTGTTGTTGTAATTCTATCAATTGTTGATGTAGATGACGAATATAATTATGAAGTAAAACAAGCGGCTTGATATCGTTGATACGAAGTGCTTTATTGAGCATTTTATACAGAAAACCATCTCGAGTATACCATGTTATCGGTGAATACAATGCATAATCTCGATCGAATTCATCGATCAAGTTTAAGACATGACGATTATTTGCATATTGTGAACGACAAAAGTCTATCATATTTTCATGTAAATTATCGTCTTCCATCATACAAATAATCTCTTTTGTCATTGTTGAATACATAAATATTGCATCTTGCTGATTTGGAAGTTTTTTTGCATCATAGACATTCGATGTTGCATTGGTATTAGACAATAATAATTCAGTTTGAAGAATATGAAACGGTAAAATCTCTCGTTCAAAAAGTCTAGTGTCGTGTTTGATTCGATCACATAACGATGCGATATCGCTAAAGTTACCCTTCACTTTTCGACAGGTTTTTGACCAATTCTTATATTTCTTCTCTGTTGAATTGAATAAATATATTCCATAGACTTGACTGAGTGCATTGAGTATGGATATAATTTCTATTTCAAATGGTTTAGAAACAATAAAGAAGACTCTTTCATCACTGATATCAGTGGTAAAGTCGATCGATGCATCATAGTCGGCGAATGTATAAACATCATTGACGATAATGCGGAGTGATTCAATGGATTATTCTGTTACGTTTGGATCCAGCCAAACAATAATGGAGTTTTCAACAAAATGTTTTCGATTTGAAACTGGACTCGGCAGCGATGACTGTGCACATGTTTCGGTCATTACTTTTTTTTCAACTCTCGAACGTCTGATTGTTATTTCTACTTAAACACAGATGAAGTATCAGGAAAAGCCATTGAATTCTAACGAAAAACCGTCGCATGACATTTATACAGAACAGAAAAAATATTGATGTGCATGTGTTCTCTCTTTTTCTTTCTCTTGAGGAGACGGTGTTTGTAGAGAACATGTTCGCATAATTGTATTCATGTCCAAAGAAAAAGCGAAAAAATAAACCATAAATCGACGGCGTTTGTTTTTCGATTGCATCAACTGTTGGTTTTTTCCAACTTTTCAACAGAACATTAAACTTCTGATATTTGAATTTTTTCTGTTCCGATCGAACATTGATACTTTCTCAGTGACGGATACAACAACAGCAGATCAAATTTCGGGAAATAAAATATAGGAGTTGAACATCACTATTCTGCACGCATGTTATTTCATTATGATTAACAATTGCCTGTACAGCTCTCGTTTCAATATTGTCCACAATTTTTGATCTTGATTTAATTTGAGGGTGAGCTTGAAATAAATGAATTCGGAGCTACTTGCGACGTATTTTGTCCTTGCTTAAGCGACTCGTCAGGTAAACTTGGAACTCAAACATATTCAGCATATCAATCATAGTTTTCATAACAAAAGAAACAGATATAAATATGAAATTTTGAAATGCGTTCGAAGCGACAGTATTGGTCTCGATATTCGGAATTCTCATATTTTCTTTGCTGTGTCATTGATTTGTGTCGGCTAGGCATGCATCAAAATTATTTATCATGACACGAAAATTGAAATTTTTCCAGATGGAAACCCTCAATACCAACCAAAGTTTGGATGCTGATTGACGATGAAGCTACTTTCTGTCATGGATATCGATTCTTTCTTTTTAAGTGTTCAACTGATATTTTATCACATCTCTTCAAAGAATTTTCATCGACTGAATTACGTAGTGAAAGTGATTTCAGAAAAAGAAATATGACCATTGCTAGGTAGTATTGCTGTTCTACCATAGGAAATTAATGTCTATGTAATTAAAATGTTGTCTACAGTACTATTTTTGATTCCACTGAAGAGCTAACTGGTTTATTGCCATTTATTCTGAGTTTAGAAGAACATCCATTGATTTCTTTAAAAGATGAATGAGTGAGAGTGATAATAGATGTAGAGATAACACTTATCCACACATGACTGAAATTGTTCTTGCCATACAGTCCGACGAACGGCATCAATTTAAAATGTTTGATGGTCATCTACTCCATGGTACATCTGATGAACGGTTTCGATGATCAGTGCTTTGATGCAATATCTTTTCTAAGATTAATTGAAAAACTATGCTTGATGATATCCTGTTCTATCGACATGTCAAAGTTCCTTTCTCTTTAATCTATCAAGAATTATAATTTTCAAGATGTTGAATATTTCATGATGTGAACTGCAAAGTTTCAGTTTCAAAATAATTTCAAATTTAAATGATTTTGTTTCATCTTTCAATATTCTTCATCAGAAACATAAGCAAGAAATTGATACGCATCAGACTATATAATCAATTAATTAGTCTCAATCGTGTTCTTAATTTTCTTTGTTGCTTCATAGAAGTTTTGCGTACATAAAAGATGAAAATTGGAATCAATTTCTCTATTGAAACGTCAAATTTAGTATAAATGATAATGATACAAAATAAAAATCATAAAAAAAAAAAACTTTTCTTTTCATATATCGTGGTTGTTCAATATTTTTTCTTCCAGAATAAATAAGTTAATTGTCTAATTGAATCATTTCATTTAAGTTTTCAAAATCAAAGAAAATTGTTCAATGAATTTTTTGTGTTATATAATTATCCTCCTTGTAGGATATAATTAAAAATTGCCGACAAAATGGACATGTATCCCCACCAGCATCGATCCATTGTTGTAAACATTCCTTATGATATACATGTTTACACTTTGTTATAGTTAATTGCTGTTGTTCTTCTTCTGAAATTTTCTCCAGACATATAATACAATCATCGTTGTATCGTGTTCTCCTGGTTTGAATGATGAGTTTTTGCCAAGTAACCAATTTAGCTCCACCATCATCGATTTCTTTTTCCAAATCAAACAAATTATAATTATCATCAGCTGTTGTTCAATCTGCCTTACTAATTTGAACTAGTCGATCAGTTTTCGGTTCACACTTGATTCCGAACCATCTCCATTGACAATTATTGAATGCACATGTTAGAACAGCGACATGAGCATGACATTGTGGACAATTGGTATTCTTATTATTAATAAAATCAAATATACCCATTTCTTTATTGATAATAACAGAGTAATTGAATGCTTCACAACATGAATTTTCACATTTACCTTCGAATAAAGACAAATCGTAGCAGTCACTAACATCTCGACCCCACCAATTTTACCTTCCAAACAAAGACCAACATTGGCCGTACGCCATGGTGGAGCTTCGCTGTTCCATTCAATTTTTTTTATTTTACTTTCATCTGATAGATCAACAAATGAAGCTTCCGTCGGCATATGTTCGCCACCACGTAGTCTTTAAAAACAGAAATATAAGTATCGATTTTTTTTCATTAAGAAACTACCTTAACTGAAGATGAACTGTTGATTCAGTCAGTATGAAATAATCCGATAATATACGTCCATTTTCCCATTGTTTTCCGGCAAAGATAATTCGTTGTTGATCAACTGGTATACCTTCAATGTTATATGAACCGAAAACATTAGTCTTATATTTGTTAAGTCAAACTCGATATTAACACTACCCTCTTTACTTTTCACTTTTGATTTAAATGATTCAATCGTTTCTTCGGAATAAATATTAATTGTTATAGTTTTTCCTGTTAAACTTCTAATAAAGACTACGCCGACAAATGGTGTTCGACAAAATAGAATATCATTATTTTCAATATTATAATCTGCTAGTCGTTTTCTTTCATCTAACTTGTGAACACCGTAAACGATAATTCGATTATCGACACCATTAACGTGATCTGAAATCATCGATTTCAATTCCTGGATTGTCGTCTCTGTTGAACAATTGATTGTTGTGATCTTTTTATCTTCATAGTCAGGCCCGACAGTAACCACATGTATCTGTAAATCGACTGGAAGCATCGCAATTATTTCTGTTGTCTCTCTGCTGGTACATTTAGAACGAACAACATATAACGTTGTATTATTATTAATGTTGCACTCGCTCAACAGTAGACCATCATCAAAAAAATGATCATTTGAAAGTGCAGCTAACCCTTGTGCAGCTCGGTATGAATCAACATTCGATAAGCGTCGATTTCCAACACAATGTGTTTCATGAATTAATCTTTGATGTTCTACCTTCAACGATGGATTTTGCATTTCAATCATTTGCTTTAATTCCTTGGTTGTGATCCTATTTGAACATGTGATTGTAAATGGTGTCATCTTGTGCCAAACAGTTCGAATGTTGATAGTAATTGTTTGTTCGGCCACTGGTATACGATGAAAACCTGGCGTTTTAAGAAATAGAATTTCATTCGATAATATCAATAATTCAATAGCATCATCTTTTCTTAAATAAATATCTCGTAATGAATCAGTATAGAGTTTCACATCATGAATTGATAATAATTTTGAAACAGCAGTTTCTAACCTTACCAAAGTAATATCTTCACTACGGTTATCATTGTTAGTTGTCAAATCAATGTGAATAAACTTTGCTCGATTGCTCCAATATACCGGAATTGATGATGTTGATAATGGCCTATGATATTATTTTACTTTGTAGCAATACTCTCTTTTAACGCTTACTTGTACTCCGCATGAATCTTATGTTGATTGTTTACTATTGTGGAAGTCATTTTTCTAGTTGAAATATCTATTTAAAAAAAAACAAGAAATTTCAAACAGAGATGTCAATTTATCAATATTGAAATTCTGATTTTCTAGTAGAAGTTCTGTTTCTGTCTTATATTTAACAAAACCCACGTCTTGAAGCATCTTATTCATTATCTCATACCATCATTTTTACTAAGTTACTAAACATCGATCGCAAATGCTCATAAATAACGATTATCATTCTATTTCCTTGAATGATATGGCGCTGTTTCTTCAATTTTTTTTAGCAAGACTCATATCATCAATGAAATTTATTGAAGTCGCCTGTTGTCGATACTATG